CAAAGTAAAAAACAGAACATACAAAATTTAAAAACAGTTTAAAATAATTAAATATTTTGGCCGTAAATTAAAACAATCCAATTTAAAATCAATTTAAAATTTAACTCAAGCCAGCCCAGCTAGTTAAAATAAATAGGTTTTCAGGGCCCGACGAAAAATCCGGAAGTGTGTTATTGTACGTATCTCTGGGGGGAGGTTGTTCCAGAGGGTGGGCGCCGCCACAGAGAAGGCTCTCCCCCTGGGGTTCGCCAGCCGACATTGTCTGGCGGACGGCACCCTGAGGAGGCCCACTCTGTGCGAGCGTACTGGCCGGTGGGAGGCTATTGGTGGCAGAAGGCGGTCTCGTAAATACCCCGGCCCTAAGCCATGGAGCGCTTTAAAGGTGGTCACCAACACCTTGAAGCGCACCCGGAAGACCACCGGGAGCCAGTGCAGCTCGCGCAGGAGAGGTGTCACATGGGAGCGCCTCGTCGCCCCTATAATCCCCCGCGCGGCCGCATTCTGGACCAGCTGGAGCCTCCGGGTGCACCCCAGGGGGAACCCCATGTAGAGAGCGTTGCAGTAGTCAAGGCGGAAAGTGACGAGTGCTTGAGTGACTGTGCATAGGGAGTCCCGATCTAGAAAGGGGCGCAACTGGCGTATCAGGCGAACCTGATAAAAAGCCCCCCTGGCCACGGCCATCAAATGATCTTCTAAAGACAGCCGTGTGTCCAGGAGGACGCCCAAGTTACGAGCCCTCTCCGTGGGGGCGAGTGATTCGCCCCCAAAGGCCAGCGATGGCATCAGCTGGCTATATCGGGACGCCGGAAGCCACAGCCACTCGGTCTTGGAGGGGTTGAGTTGGAGCCTGTTTCTCCACATCCAGGCCTGCACGGCCTCCAGGCACTGGGACATCACTTCAAGGGCATCGTTGGGGTGGCCTGGGGTGGAGATGTACAGCTGGGTGTCATCAGCGTACTGATGGAACTCCACCCCGAAGCCACGGATGATCTCACCCAGCGGCTTTACATAAATGTTGAACAGAAGGGGCGAGAGGACCGACCCTTGTGGCACCCCACAAGCCAGGTGCCTCGGGGTCGACTGCTGCCCCCCTGTCAACACAGATTGCGACCAGTCAGAGAGGTAGGAGGAGAACCACCGCAGAACGGTGCCTCAGTCATCCCGTCCAGACATACCCAGTCAGAGGCCAGCCCTTCCCGAATCTGAGCGATTTTGTCATACAGATACTGCACAAAATCCTCAGCTCGGCCCTGCAAGGGGTCATCCCACACTTCCAGATGGAGGAGGGAGCGGGTCACCCTAAACAGGGCGGCCGGGCGATTATCTAATGACGTGATAAGAACGGCAAAATAGCTAGTTTTTATCGCCACTAGGTAGGTCTTAATATGAGGCCTCACCAGTGTTCGGTCAGATTCGGAGCGGCTGGTCCTCCAAAATGGCGCTTGAAGCTGTGACTAAGTGAAAGTGTTTATTGCGGTAACTTGTTCTTTTCTGAAAAGAACCATCTGACTTGTTACATATTGTGGATTACCTTGAAAAGAACTATGGCTTTTTGAATTTTGGAGATTCATATTCTGTCGTTAGATGGCTACATAAAGAAAGAAGAAATACAATGTTTAATAAACTTTTAACTAACTAGTGCAGCAATAAAAGACTGTGGACGTGATGTTTTACTGGAAACAGACTTTATAATAGAATTAAAAAGGATATGCAGAGTTTTAAGCATGGAAGTATTGACTTTAAGTTGAAATGCATATGGACAGATAAGGAAAAGAAGAAGCAAAATAGATAAATTGGATAGCAATGTTTGAATGTTTAATTGTTTAAATGGTTCAAAATTTAAATGAGTTTTAAATAAAAATAAGAAGTGTTCATGGTAAACAAAGATAGAAATATTAAAAATAGAAATGGGAAGTAAAGGTGACTAAAAGTGATATGTTTAGAAAAGCATAATTCATTGTAACATGCTTTAGTTTTAATTTGATAACAAAGTGGTGGATGATAATTATGATCAATTGTTAATGATTTTAGATGATTATTAAGGTACACAGATGGAAGTTATAATTGTAATTGCACTTAATATATCTTGGAATAATTAATATTAAGAAATAAATGGGGAAACACCCTGGAAGAGTACCGTTGGAAATAATGGATTAATAGATAATATATGGAAAAAGAAATCTTTAATAAGTTAGTAGAATAGAAGTTGGAATTAATGGAGGAGAATATTCTGAGAAATCAGCCAAATAATGAAATGCTGGAAATCAGCCAAATAATAGGTGGAGTTAAGGAGGAGAATGCTGTTAATCAGCCAAAAAACTAGATGGAGTTAAGGAGGAGAATGCTGGTAATCAGCCAAAACAAAACATACTGGAAATCAGCCAAAACAATGGAAAATGCTGGTAATCAGCCAAACGAAAGGGGAAGTTAAGGAGGATAATATGCTGAAAACTCAGCCAAAATATGCTATGCTGGAAATCAGCCAAATAAATAGGTGGAGTAATGGAGGAGAATGAGGAGAATATATTGAAGAATAATTATTAATAAGGGGTGAAAAAAAATGTTGGGTGATAATTAAAATGAAATGGTAAATTTTGAGATCTCTGTGTAAAAGTTTAAGAATATCATAGGATAGATTGGGTTTAGAAAACAAGAACAACAGAAAGAAATTTTGATTAATAAATTGAAATAAAAATTGAGTTGTATACATTCGGAAATTAAGATTTGTGGTGATAAAATTGTAAGGTAAATATATAGATTAATAGAAAAGATTGTTTTTGTGCTTAATGTTGATGTCAAAAGGGGCAAGGGATAAAAAATTTAGATAAAGCGGTATTGAATTCTGATTTATAATTGAATTTATAATTGAATATAAAAAGGAGGTTTGCCTTAGTAGGAGATTAGGATGTATGATGAGATAATAGAAAAATTTATTAAAATGTTGGAATTTATGTTAAAATCGTTTGTTTCTCATATGTTAAATTAGTGTACCCATTTGTGACCGGACCAAGACTTCGTTCTTGAAAAAAATTTCTTTTTTATGTTTATGTTGGAAAATTTTTTTTAAAAATTAAAAAAACAAAGAACTGCAATATTTAATTGTGAATATTTTAACAGCGGCTAGAATTGTATGTGCAAAAAATTGGAAAGGAGAGAAGCGAATTACTGATGAAGAAATTATTAAGAAAATGTTGGATTGTGCTGAAATGAGTAGATTGACACTTGAAATAAGAGAACAAGAAGATAAACAATATTATTTGATATGGGAGCTATTTTACCAATGGGTAGATAATAAAGCATGGGGATGAAATATTATATACAAAATGAAATTTGGGTAAAACGTTTAAATACTTGTTTTCTGTTACAGGAAAGAACATCTGTCATATAAAAAAAATGTATTATAGACCAATGGAAAAGTATTGGTATGCAAATCATATTTCATAAGATATTAAAGTAGTTACTTTCATTTTTTCTATTTCAATATTCCAGAAAATGCCCAATATAATACCCTAAGGTACCTTAACATGTACCTTACTTGTTAAGGTATCATCTTGGGCAGGGCTGGACCAGCTAATATCATTTTTGGATTAAAATTACAAATTAAGTCCTTTAAATTTAAATGTTTCTGCTATTTTTTGCTAACTTAAGTAAAAAAAAATCTGAGAATGAGAGGTAATATCTCAGTTATCACAAATCACAAGATGGAAAGGAAAAAAAAACTACCCTGACTTCTAGACCTATAGTTGCCTTAATGAGACCCCTTAGTCTACATTGCCTAGACTGAGCAATTAGTGTACTGGACTGGGTGACCAATAGTTCCAAGGAGGTTAGTCTCAAAAAGACAATATAAGATCTTTTCAGTAGAGATGGGAGATTCTGTATCCTTGAGTTTATCATCTTGGATGAGGTTGCACTACCCAAGGCAGATCTAGGGCATAATCTGGAAGTTTTCCTGGACTCATTGCTCCTGCTTGAAGAGGAGGTAGCAGTTTTACCTAGGAGTGCTTTTGCTTATCTTTGTGTTGTGAACTAGTTGTACCCATTCCTGGATACTGGAGGCTCTTTGCTTGGTCCTTCACACCCTGATCATATCTTATTTGAACTATTGCAATGTGCTCTACATGGGACTATCCTTGAAAAGAATCTGCATCAGCTGGTACAGAATGTGACCGTGCAAGCAATCTTGAGTGTCCCCAAGTACATGTAACACCTCTGCTGTCTGACTGCATTGGGTGCCAATTTGCTTCCAGGTCCAATTCAAGGTTTTGATTATGACCTAAAGGTCTCTACATGACATGGGGCAGATTACCTGTGAAACTGTCTTTGCCCTATTACATTGGCCCATCCCACAGGAACGGTATGTTGTGGACCCCATCAGTTAGAGAATTTCAGCTGGTGGGATTTGGGAAGAGAGCCTACTCTGCTGCCACCTCCACCTTTTATAATGTTCTCCTCACAGAGGCAAGGTGGGCCCCCATTCTCCTGGCATTTCAGGAGAGTCTGAAGAGCTGGTTCTGCCATATTGCTCTGCCATGTTGCTCTATTGCTCCCCACATCTTTTTCACTTTTAATGTTTTTGCATCCTAATATTCAGATGCAGTTTTTATGTTTTTATATTTTACTTGTATGCTGCCAGACTTGCTCTGTGAGGGAAATGGATAGTTTCTAAATTTGATAATAAAATAAAATAATAAAATAAAATAAACAAACCTATCACTTCCAAAAGAGTTAATATTTGGAACTGGATACCAGAAATGATAAGAGAAATTAAGAAAAAAAAACCTGTCTGGTTTAATCAATTTTATGGTGCATGCCAATGCTTCCTGATGTATCCATTTAATATGCAATCATTATTTGTAAATAAATTATTTACCTCTGCCATACTCATGTATTGTTCTATCATTGGATTCCCCCCCCCCACACCAATCTACCTACATTAGAACAGTGAAAGATTGGAATGGATACAGACAATGTATTTTGGAAAACTGCTTTTGACCTACCGTACTCAATGATATTTAAGAGACAATTGTTGGTGCAATCCAATTTGGCAGTTTTGTGCAAGACTTCAATGGAACTCAGAATTTTGTGATGGTAATAGGACATTTTCCTAGGCAAAACACTGTGGATGAAAAAAAAAGAAGGGCTTCACAAACTTTTATTATTACTTCTATAAATTAAGATCTGTACCTCCAAGTTTGAGTTAATCTTTTCAATCGGACGCCACAGTTTAGAATAATTTTCCCCTACTATGTTGGGAATTGTAATTTAAGACTTTTAGAAGACAGCAGTTTAGGGAAATTGACTTTTAGATTTTTCAGATAGACTTCTACTTGAAGAAAACTCTCATTTCCCCTGCACTTCCCCCTCTAATACTTTACAATAGAGTTCTAGTTTGTGGTGAGGGAAACATTTGGTTTGGTTAAATTATTACTTGCTGGACACCATGGGAAGCATCATTTGCCAATGTCATCAGGCCCCAGACTTTCAGATTCCAAGATAAAAAAGAAAGATCTCTGTGTCCATATGGCTCAGAACTGGGCTGAAGTAATAAGGAGTTAATATTCAGATAGCAAACAATGGTGGTAATTGCTTCCCAGCTTCCCAGAATATCTACTGATTACTAGTCTGATATTATATTTCCAAGCAGCATTAGAAATCAATAGGAAGAAGCAAAAAACCATAAAGAGGAGGGCCTCATTATTAGAGTTAAATTGTACAGGCAGAAAAACAAGTATTAAGATCAAAGCTCCTTATGCCTTGTGTGTATCTGGTGTTCTCCAGAAACAATGTAAACTGGTACTACAACTTGGAGACTATTCTTGACTTCAGAATTCAGCTACAATGGTAGAACCTTGCTAGAATCTGGTTTTATCAGATCCCTGGTACTTTTAAGAAATATAATGGCTCAGCAGTTAAAAACTCTGAGATTATCAGCTGGAAACCTGACAGCCCAGTTCCAATATCCAGGTAATATGTGATCGGGTAAGATCTTGTTCTTGCCCCATCTTAGGCAACCTAGCAGTTTGAAAGCATGCAAATGCAAGTAGATAAATAAGTAGCACTTTGGTTGGAAGTTAACAGCATTCCGTATCCCCTAGAGCAGTGGTCCCCAACCCCCGGTCCGCGGACCGGTGCCGGGCCGTGGAGTACCTGGCACCGGGCCGCGCAGCTGGTGGGGGGGGGGAAAGCGTCCCACTCCTTCTGTTCCGGTCTCCATTTGTTCCGACGCTCGCTTCCCTCCCCCTAAATCCGGGCAGGTCGGTGCGGCTGCGGAAGCGTCCTGTGGGCGGAGCAGGAGGAGGAGGAGAAGGAAGGGGCGGCGTCGCCCCGCCTGCCGCCCGCACCACGTCTCGGGAGAAGGAAGGGCGCCTGGGGCCGAGCCAAGCCGGGCAGGTCAGCGGGGCGAAGGGCCGAGCCAGACCTGGGAATGGGGGGAGGGGGAGGGGAGGGGGGTTTCGGGCCTGCAGGACTGGGAGGGGGGCTCAAACCCCTCCCCCCTCTGTGTGTGTGTGTGTATAAAAGTCACACCCTTGTGCAAACACACACACACACACTTCGAAACACGCCTCCCTGTCTGGGGGAGACTGGAGGGGGGGTGTCTCTGGGCATGGGGGGTGGCATGCACACGTGTCTTGCAATACACGCGTCTCTGTGTGTGTGTGTGAGAGAGAGAATCTGGGTCCTTCCCTTGTGGGGGCCGGGTTGTGTGTGGGGGGGGGGTTGTATGCCTGCGGGTTTGCGTTGTATGAAATGGGCTCTGTGGACTCTATAGAGCTGGGTAGGGATGAGGTGGAGAGTAGGTGTGTGTGTGTGTGTTTGTGTAGTACCTGTGTATATATATGAAGATGAATAGAATAGAATAGGATAGGAATAGAATGAATTGAATTGAATTGAATTGAATTGAATTCTCTATTGACCAAGTGTGATTGGACACACATTGCTGGGAGTTGTAGTTTTGCAACAGCTGGAGGCACCCTGGTTGGGAAACACTGATATAGATAGATGCATAGATAGGCAGAAAGAGAGGACAAGCATAGCTCCATTTTTCCCAAGCAGGGTGCCTCCAACTGTTGCAAAACTACAACTCCCAGCATACCCAGACAGCCTCTGGCCCTCCAGGCATGCTGGAAGTTGTAGTTTGGAAAAAGCTGGAGGCACAATGGTTGGGAAACACTGACATAGATAGATGGGGGGGGGGAAATACGAACAGCACACTATAGCAGGTTTTGGTACTCTCCAAGTGTGAGCCATGGCTAGAGGCCCCAAATTATCTCTAACATTATACAGTGAAATTACATATAATTTATATTAATTCTACCAGTGTCCAAACATATAAAGTGCATAAGTGCATTAATAATTCATAACGTGTACCCAGGTGCTAGCTCTTCTCGCTTTTCACTGGTACTTTCTCATTTTTACAGTAGTTGGTGTAGGTGTATATTGTTTTTGCTCAAATTTAACCCACAAATTAGCAAAGATGAGTACGAAACAGATGTCGTCAGAAAGTTTCCTTGGGAAAAAGAAAAGGCCCAGTGAAGAGACAGAAGAAGAGCCTTCAGCATCAAAGAAACATAAAACTTTTAACAGACAATACAATGAGTCCTACTTGAAATATGGATTTATCGGGATAGGTGATTCCCACGCGCCAACCCCACTCTGCATAGTTTGTGGTGAGCGGCTCTCTAATGAGGCAATGAAACCCTCAAAACTGCTTCGCCACTTGAATGCCAAGCACCCTGGATTAAAAGACAAACCCCTGCAGTATTTTGAAAGAAAAAAAAGGGAACACGAAGGACAGAAGATATTTCTGAGGGCCACCACAGCAATAAAGGAGAATGCTCTGAGAGCATCATATTTGGTGGCTAACCGTATTGCTAAGGCTAAAAAGCCATTCACTATCGGTGAAGAATTGATCTTGCCCTCCACTAAAGACATTTGTCGTGAACTTTTAGGAGAGGCTGCTGTAAAAAAGGTAGCAAATGTGCCTTTGTCGGCTAGCACCGTGACTAGGCGCATTGATGAAATAGCTGAAGACATTGAGACACAATTGTTGGAGAGGATTAATACTTCACCGTGGTACGCACTACAGGTTGATGAATCTACAGATATCGACAACAAGGCAATACTACTTGTTTATGTGCGATATCTTTATCAGGAGGATGTGCATGAGGATTTATTATGTGCACTATCTTTGCCAACCAACACCACAGGAGCAGAACTGTTCAAGTCACTGGATGGTTATATATCAGGACAACTAAAATGGTCCTTTTGTGTCGGCATATGCACAGACGGAGCTGCTGCCATGACCGGACGGCTGTCTGGTTTAACCGCTCGGATTAAGGAGGTTGCACCTGAGTGCGAATCTACACATTGTATCATTCACAGGGAAATGCTGGCAAGCCGAAAAATGTCACCAGAATTTAACAGTGTATTGAATGATGTGGTTAAAGTTATTAACCACATCAAAGCAAACGCCCTTAACTCGCGTCTATTTGAGCAGCTTTGTGAGGAGATGGACACAGAGCACAGATGCCTTCTCTTATACACAGAAATAAGATGGTTATCCAGAGGAAAATCACTATCCAGGGTGTTTGAATTAAGAGAGCCATTGCAAAGATTTCTCTCAGAAAAGAAGTCACCACTGGCAGCACATTTCAGTGACAAGGTATGGCTTGCAAAACTGGCTTACCTGTGTGACATATTTAGCCTGCTCAATGAACTCAATCTGTCCCTTCAGGGGAAAATGACAACTGTTTTCAAGTTGGCTGACAAAGTAGCTGCATTTAAAGCCAAACTGGAGTTGTGGGGACGGCGTGTGAACAGAGGCATTTTGGACATGTTTCAGACATTAGCGGGGATTTTAGGAGAGACTGAGCCTGAGCGTTCATTCTCCCAGTTGGTGCACGATCACCTGTCTTTGCTTTTAGAAAAGTTTGAGCACTACTTCCCAACCACAAAAGACCCACGAACTGGTAAGGAATGGATCCGCGACCCATTTGTCAACAAACCAGACGAATGTAGCATGTCTGTACAAGAAGAAGATCAACTGCTGGAGATTGCAAATGACGGCGGCCTTAAAACTGTATTTGAGACAACAACTCTGCCGGTGTTCTGGATTAAAGTCATGGCGGAATATCCTGAGATTGCCACTACAGCTCTTAAGTCCCTTTTGCCTTTTCCAACATCCTATCTGTGTGAAGCGGGGTTTTCTGCAGTGACAGCAACCAAAATAAAACAACGAAATAAACTGGACATAAGCAAGACACTTCGGGTGTCATTGTCTCCTATTACCCCCAGATGGAACCGTCTCGTTGCAGAAAAACAAGCTCAGGGTTCTCATTGATTCACTAGAATCTAGTAACTAGAGCGCTTAGTTAAAGTTTAACTGTTAAAATGTTAAAGCACTTTATATTTATGTAATTGTATTTTATTTTGTAAGGCATGTTTAAATACAATAAAATAAAAGTTGTTTAATCAAAATAATCTGATATATAAACAATCAATGTGTCGTCGCGAACAACGCCCCCCACCCCTGCGCGCGCTCAGCGGGCCACGGTAAAATTATCAAAGGCTGACTGGTCCGCGGCGATAAAAAGGTTGGGGACCACTGCCCTAGAGCAGGGATGAAATACTACTGGTTCAGACCGGTATGGGTGAACCGGTAGTAATAAAAGCTACCAGTTCGGGTGAACTGGTAGTAAAAAAATGCTACTGGTTCAGACGAACTGGTATTTCTGACAATCAGCTGTGCTGCGTGATTTATATTCACTAGAAAGCAGGAAATCCTGCTTTCTAGCAAATCTAAGTCACGCAGCACAGCTGTTTTCCCCACCTCGCTGTTCTACTTACCTTAGAAAAGGCTTTTTAAGCCTTCTTTTTAGCACCGTGCAGTAGCACCTATGGTGTGCCTGCACGAAGTGCACATTTGGCATGCACTGCACACTGCAGATGCACATGCGAAGCACACATTTGGTGCACACTGCACATGTGTGCGCGCAGCAAAGTGGTAGCAGACCTCAGAGGATTTCAGCACTGCCCTAGAGTCAGACTTGACTGAACAGGGGAAAGAAACCTTTACCTTTACTTTCTGATACATTTAGTTCATCAGTTTTGCCTAAC